TTTTCTTTCTTCATCCATACTACACCGTGTCATGATTTATTTTAACAAAAATAAAGCCAAAGTGGAGAAGCCATGTGACAAACACGCAATGGACTCCTTAGCTGTGCAGTCAGTGGCTGCTTCAAAACAGAGAGTTTGAAAAACACCTACCTGTACACTTCTTTTGACCTGCCTGAATAGCTCAGTTAGTTAGGTACCTGGCTGCAGAGCCAGAGGTGAGGAGTTTGATTCCCCACTGTCCCACTTGGAAGAAAAACCAGCTTGTGTACTCTTTGGTAAGCAGCATATTCCCAGGTTGCCCCAGAAGGAGTGACTGGTAATCTAGTTCTGAGTACTCGCTACCTAGACAACCTTGGAAAGGGTCCCTGTAAGCCAGAATTGACTTAACAGCACATAATTAAATTAACGCTTCATTTGACCACAGATATTCAGTGTGTCTAAGATAGAAAAGTGAGGAATATTTGTTAAATTCTTCACTTTCTTTGATCAGGCTGTCAGGATTCAATTCAAAGTAACCTTTATTGGCATAGAGAAGATAGAAAAGTTAATAAAAATAATAATAAATAGACATAAGGATAATAGTTACACAGCTAGAGATGTAAGAAATGTAAAAAAGAAGATGACAAGAGATGCTTAGGACAATCTGGTTAATTATCAGGATTCAGTAAGACACCTTGACAAGAAATGGTGAAGGTACCTGGTCTCCAGGTGAGTGAAAGTTATGACATTTATGGAGCACAGCTACCAGTCTCTCCATAACTTACACACACTGTCTCTGTGCAAAACTAGTGTCCTTTCCATTTGAAAGGCAAAGCAAAGCATCCACACACAGCAAAAAGGACCAAATAACTGCCCAATTGTTTAAAAAGAAGCTATAAATAATCCCTCAATATTTCTACTGCACACATTTCCATGCATCCATCGTCAAAGTTCCAAACAGAGTAGTCCTAGATCAAACTGGAATTTTTAGCATGTATACATTACTGAAACAGCGAAGTCTATGTTGGCTTTGGTATGTTGTGACAATGGCTGAGGGTCAGATTCCAAAAGATCTCCTGTATAGAGAATTAGTGCAGGGAAATCGTCCCAGAGGGAGACCACAGCTGCTATACAAGGAGATCTGCAAGTGGGATCTGAAGGCCTTAGGAATAGACCTCAACAGATGGGAAACCCTGACCTCTGAGCATTCAGCCTGGAGACAGGCGGTGCATCACGGACTCTCCCATTTTGAAGAGTCTCTTGTCCAGCAGGCCGTGGCAAAGAGGTGTTCCCGAAACCAGCC